TCGCGTACGCGTTGGATAGTTTTTCGAATACCAGCATGAGAAGCTAAAGGGCTGTCATGGAGCTCCTGCAGGATATTTAATCTAAGACTAGCTGGGATAACAGGTCGAAATTCGTTGTTGGAATTCGTAGTTTTTGTATAAAATAATAGACCATCTATTAGTTCGTAATGGGCCGCCCTATTTCTTATCGCCACAATATCTTGGTGGCTAAAATTTTCAGGATCCTTTAAATACTCATAAATGCTTCCAAACTCAGGATCCTTACCCAGTTCGGTTATTACAGTTTCTCGGGAATTTATTGTACATGCTGTGAGCATTGCCACCTTTACGGTATTACCTTCTTCATCTATTTTAATTCTGGATAGGGCATCTGCTACGATATTTTCCTTTCCGGGGGTATGCTTGATTACCAGATTATATTCTTGTAGCTTGAGTGCCCATCTTATTAACCTTGGGGATAAGTTTTTCCCTGAGTACAATCTAGTTACCGCCGCATGATCAGAGTACACTGTTATTGGCGCCTTTCCAAAATAGACTCGGAACTTTTGCACTGCTAACAGAACTGCAAGTGCCTCTCTCTCGGTCGCGGAATAGTTTCTTTGTGTTTGATTTAAAGTTCGGCTAAAAAATGCCACGGGCTGCTGATTTTGCGAAAGTACCGCTCCTACCTCCTACCGCATAATCCGAAGCATCCGCTGAAATTTCTAAATTCTCATCCTTTTCAGGAAATTTCAACACAGGGGCTTGCGTTAATGCTTGTTTTAATTTTTCGAAAGCACTATTGGCTTCGGCCGTCCACGAGAATCTTGCCTTTTTCCTTTTTAATTTTAACAATGGCTTCAGCGATAGCTGCAAAATCTTTTATAAAGGACCTATAATATGAACAAAGTCCTAGAAAAGAAGAGAGCTTCTTCGCCGTGTTTGGAGTCGGATACTTTTGTACAGCGATTATTTTTGATTCGTCTGTCTCGATTCCTTTCTGAGATATTTTGTAACCTAAATATTTTAATTCAGGGGCTGCAAATTTGCACTTTTCGACATTAACTTTTAGACCGGCCTCATTTAATAAAGAAAACACCTGTCTTAAATCCTGTACATGTTGGTCGAGATTATCACTAGTAATAATGATATCGTCTAAATAGATAAATGTGGACTTTCCAAGAACAGGTCTTAACACAATGTCCATACATCGCTGAAATGTTGCCGGGCCCCTGAAAGGCCAAACGGCATACGCAAAAATGCATAAGTGCCAGACTTGGTTATAAAAGCAGTCTTAGGCACGTCCTCAGGCCTAACCCCTATTTGAAAATAACCAGTCGTTAAGTCTAAAGTCGTCATATATTTGGTGGATGTTTATGTTCCTTAGAATTTCTTCAATAATAGGTAACGGATATACCGGATATTTAGTTATGGAGTTTAATTTACGGTAATCAATTGCGAATCTCCACCTTTTTGGATGTGTCAAAGGATAGTCATTATTTTTCTTACATAAAACCACCGGGCTAGCATAACTACTTGAGATGGGCGTTATGATCTTTTTACGTAGCATATCGGTGATATGCCATTCTATAATTTTTTTCCTTATTCTTATCATGCCGGTATGCTTTTTGGCGAACTAGCATTGAATCTCCGGTGTCAATACTATGTTATGTGTTAGTAACCTGAGTAAATCCTGGAATATCACTAAATAACGAAGCAAATTCACTTACCACTTGTCGGATTCTTCCTTGCTCGTCATTAGGCAGGTGGTCAAGATTTAACATCGGCGGTTCAGCCTTTTCTGCACGAACTGGTTTCATTGTCAGCTTAAGGGACGCTTCATTAAAATCCAGCGTTGCTTGTGCCTCTGAAAGAAAATCTATTCCTAAGATTATATGTGCTTGCAGATTCTTTACTATAAAAAAACATCACCTTTACTTGTTCGTCCTTGATACGGACATACAGCGGTACTTTACCTATACACTTACATTTTTCTCCTTGCGCCGCTAACACTGTCGTATTATCCGAATTATATATGCGGTATTTCCGAAAATACTTCCTAAAAAAATCTTCTGCCACACAGGAACACTGCGCGCCTGTATCCAGGAGTGCGGTGGCTGGGATATTATTCACCAACACTTCAATCTTCGGAAGAGTCAAATTTTTCACCATTACTGTATTTAACTTGAAGGAAGAGGGGTTTTCGTGGCCTTCGGATTTCCGCACCCTCTCGTCAGCAGAAATCCGTTTTAGTTTAAATTATTTTTCATTTCCGTGCTTTCCTTCTTTTTCCACTGGCCTTGAGACTTTTTTCCTGGATTGCTATTGAACTGTCGACGTTCGCCGGCTGTTTTTGAATGCTCGGGTTTCCTTGCCCACTGATTCGCTTTGCTTCCGTAGCCGTGTGCTTGAGTTTGCTGTAGTCTTGGCGCACCAAATTGGTTTCGCTGTTGATATTGGCGTCTTCTTTCAACGTCCGCCGTTCTTCTACTTTCAAACTGGATTGCTAGCTCAAATAACTTTTCCAGTGTAGTCGGATTTCTTAATTCAATAAAGTCTTGCACTTGGGGCAGTAACCTCGGCAAAATCACTTGAATTATCTCAGGATCCGGACGGTTTCCATACAAGAGTTTGAAGACGTGAATTTTTCTTAAAATAAAGCTTGAGAGGTTTTCGATTCTTTGTTGATATATACTGAAAAGTTCCGTTTCTAATTTCGCACGATCCCTTACAACAGGGAAGGCTTTTACTAGGGCAGTCTTGAAATTCTTCGTAAGTATAGGTGGGACTTCCTGCTTGACCCAAGAGACTTCTGCCTATACATTTGAACCAGTTAAGCGCTTGGCCCCTCAAAGCGCTGGTAGCTAAGGTAACTTTTTGAAATTCGTGCACGGGGTAGAGCATGAAGTGGTCATCCAATTTTTTCCAAAAAACTGGTTACCGGTGAGTTTCCATTAAATGTTGCTTCTGGTTTCATCGAAGCGCGCATGGTCTGGACGATGTAACCAAATCCTTCCAGGGCGGCAGCTGGCATTTCTGGATTCTGAGCCGCTTCTGCAGGCAGCACAGGTTCTTCTTGAAACTCGGCCATGGTTATTCTTCTTCGTTGGGCGCCACCATCAGGTTCAATGTTCCGTTCTTACCTTTCTTCGGGAACATGCAAGGACCTGACTCGGAACAGAGAGCTTACTAAAGCTATGTTCAAAACTGTGGGAAGTAGACAGGATACACAAGAAGGGTATACAAAACCCTTTATTTTTTCTCTATTACAATAACTTCCGTACTTCGGAATACACAGACCCACTACTTGGGGTCTAAAATAACGTAAAAATATAAAAATAAACTAAACTCTAATTTAACTTTAAAATAATAAACGTGGAAGATTGGCCTTATATTAACAGGAAGCCGTATGTAGTACAGAGAACTGTTAACACTACAATACGTTTAAAATTATCAAGAGGATTAAAACCTCTGGCCTGGAAGGCAACCAGCAACTGAGTAAAACTTCTAAGGTAAGCGGCCTGCTTCGACTCACTGCTTCCTCTCTCTCGCTTGGCAAAAAGCCACAACTTAAATACTTGGCGTTCGCCAGACAAACTTTGCATAAATACATTAACGCTTATAATTCTGGCCGGAAGTAGAAAATAAGAAGTGATAGTAAAGATTCAAAATAAAATAAACGTTAGTAAAACTTAAGATCCTTACAGTACCATTAGCCATTTTTAAAATATCATGCGCGTAAGGTGGAAACATGGCGAAATATTTTGTCACAAAGAGGATTATATTACAAAAATATTTGTAGCAACACAAACTTTCTGCTTAATAGTTTCAAAAGCAGCTATATTACGTAGTCAGCTGTAAAAGGTTGGAAGTAATTGCTTTTAAAATAAATAAAATATTCAAATTCTTGCAACAGTCGCATATTCGAAGATCATAAGGGGTTTAATGTGTATGAGCCCCCTTAAGACGTAATTTCTTCACATATAAAATCTGAAATAAAAATGTTTCGTTTCAAATATGCGTATCAGTTATGAACAGTGAGCCGTCAGTGACATTTTGCTCCCACATCCCATTTGATACGATGGACCAATGGAGTGAAACTGAGCCGTATCATATATGATACGCTAGGAGCAAAAAAGCTAAACCAGAAAAAATGTTTCATATTCATTCGAAGTTATATCCGTCATTTACAACGCACCTTTCTCAAAGAGTGTACAGTATCTAAAACCTGTGTAGAAAGTCTATATTCTGTATAGCTTATAGAACGTTTGTTACATGTCTTCGAATGTCTGAAATATTCGAAAACTTTGTTCTTACTGAGATGTTTCAGTTGAGGAACCAAACAAATTCAGCTGGCAGAAGATTAGGGCTATAACTCTTATAGATATTATAAAATGTTTCCCGACAAGGCCAGGATATGTTCCGGACATTATCGTAGAGAAGGAACTAAGAGATTGACTAGATGTGTACTGCAGTGCACGCGATAGGTTCTTTAGAATAAATTTGACAGAACATTCTCGTACGTTTTAACATTGTTGTTCTTTCTGGCGCATATCTTTTTCCCCTTTTTTAATATTTTTATCTCTACGAGAAGTCGAAGGCGTGCCACTTCGAACAACGTCTTCAATGGAATCTTGAACGTCTCCAAAACGTGTAAACCTTTTCTTAACAGCATTTTAAAAATGCTTAAGGAGCTTAAGCTTAAGGAGATAAAATTATATCTCCTTTCAGCATTTCATGAAAACCAATCTCAGATTTACCAGGTTTGAATCAGATCTTTAAATTCATTCTCTACTTCATTTTACAGCCATTGCTACCCGTTTGCACACTAGAGAAATACTGATAGAAACACATAGGCTATTCAGAAACTAACTTACAGTTTGGAATAAAAAAACAAAAGGAAATAAAAATGTTTTATTACTTACATTTGAAAGGCACATTATTCCACTATTTTTCTATATAATCTCTAATTCAGGCATTTATCATAACGGTACACCAGCATGTTATTTCCATCGTTACAGAATGTTGCCGCCAGAGACTTCAACCATGCAATGGACGCCTGCATGCAGTTTCTCATCATCGTCGAAGCTCTGTGTTGCAAGGAAACCTAACAATGTGAACATTGTGTTGGAATGTGTGGAAACAAGTGGCAATCGTTAGGAGCAAGGTCCGAACTCTGCGGTGGATGACCAAATAACTCCCGTCTGAAATCATCCAAGAGCCGTCGATTTTGAATGTCTACGTTGGAGGCATGTATTGTCAAGAATGAAAAAAACCTTGAAACTCAAATTTTCTCGACGCTTGTTTTGTATCGCTCTTCTTAACTTCTTTAATGTTTTGAAATATCTCTCACTTTTTATTGTTTCATCACGTTCGAGGTAATCCACCAGAAGCACAACTTTCCCTGTTCCACAAAACAGTTGCCAAGATCTTTCTTGATGTATGCAAACATTTACTTGGTTTTCCTGGGAGAACTTTTGTGACCCCACTCCATAGACTGCTGTTTTGTCTCACAAGTCACGAACTTTACCCAAGTCCTGTCTCCTGTTATGACACAATCCAGAAGTGGTTCACTTTGTTCGTGGTACATCTCGAAAAATGTCAAAGCTGCTGCATTCCCTGCTTTTTGTGGTGTTCTGACAAGAGTTTTGTTACCCATGTTGCACAAAACGTGTGATAGCCTAGAAGTTGCGTCACGTCATCAAACAGCAAAGTTAGTAAAATAAGAGGAAGCTCTAGTGAGAGCTCTTAAATTTTGAAGCAGCGGCTTTCATGAATCTTTTCGTTGATTTTCTAGTATACCAGTTAAACATTAAGAATGCTCGACCAGCCACTTCTTGCTTCCTCTTCAAAAATAGTGTGGCCATTTTTTAACATTATGCACCATTGTATCACCCCGGGTTTACTCATTATGTCGTTTCCATACACCGTACAATGTTCCCGATGAATTTCAATTGGTCTCGGGGTTTTGCGAACAGAACTTTAATCACTAATCGCACTTCACAACTGAATTTTCTATTGCCGCGCACATTTTAAACATTCGCAGTGAACAAAGCAGAGGCAACACATACTGCCAACAATTAGAACCGAATGCGTAAGTATTCAGTAGACACTCTGATGCCAAGATTGGGCTGCTAATGCTATCTCTCGTGGCGCAGTGGCAAAGCGTAAGTTGCTTTCTGAATTGCCCTCGTAGTAATAGAATAATAGAAATCTGTATAATTCTATTCTTAAGTTAATGTAGGACTTGTTCAAACAATTTTATGGAGTAGCTTTTCGTATTTCGTCCACGAACGCATATCATCTTATGACGTTATTTATCAAACTTAATTACGTGAAATTCATTCTTTTCGTTTAAGATCAAAAAAAGATAGTAAAATTTCCAATGAAATGTGAAAATTACTTGATTAATGTTCTACAGAACCAGATACTCTTTTTGGATAATATTATTTCCAGTTTTAATATCGAAATAGAAGAAACTGCTTTGTTATTTGACTGAGTAAAATTCGGAATGAAAAAGCAGAAAATGGAGACGAAAAATAATAGATAAAGATAAAAAATTATTATGTAATTTTCAGAAAAACTGATAATTACGATATCTAGTGATATGTAAATAAAGCTGTAAAATTTTAATAAAAAGTTATTACAATATGTTTCCAGATTTTCTATTCTTACTGTTTTCGACAGCAAACTAATTTTAGAGGGAATTTACAGTGTTTGTTATTTTTCACTTATACAGAATGTCGATCTGAAGTTAGCCGTTTATAGAGGGAATGTGATTTCGTGTCACCTTTTACCTTTTTGGTGCAAAGAAAATCTAATTTTGAAGTCACATTATATTATCAAGACATTTCTTATCCATACGGCAGGCAAGTTTCTAGTTTTGAAATGTATTTTCATACATTGTTATGTAAAGTGAAAGGTCTTGAAAGCAAAATGTATACTTTGAGCTAAAATCCTCACATTATGTTAAATTGAATCCTGAAATGCTAAAATTTATTCTAAAACTATATTTTATAACCTTTTTTAATATAATTTATATATTGTGAAAAGCTGCATCTATATTAAAAGCATATATTATAACTTTTTTAATATAATTAATATGTTGTGTAAAGTTGGATTTTACGACATAATTTTCATCTTTTAATATGCAATAATTAATAATGTATTATTGAATAAAATTATTCTGAACATATGCATTATGGTTGCAGTTTACGAAAGATATTTATAATGTCATATTTTACATACCTCATCTACATAATAGTCGTTTGTGTTTCTTTTAACATGCTTATAACTGCATTTTTTCTTTCATTTGATAAATGTGAGTATAAATTATAGAAGAGCTTTTATCATTATAATAATTTAAATATATCATATATTATAAAGCGCAAACAGGTTAAAAGGTGATCAATATATATATATATATATATGTTATGCAAGTATACTTGTAGAGACATTAGGTATTTTTGGAAGCAGGCAAGATGGAAAATTAGCAACGACTTCGCCGGGAATAGAACCGAGGAGCTCTGGAATACCAGCACAGCCTGCAGAACCACTACACCACGAAGGCACTCTATAAAGGCGGTAGAAATACTTTATATGCTCCTCCTTTTAAAAATCGACTGGGATTTTAGGGGACCCAATCGCCAAATTCTGGGTGAGGAGAATCATCATCTAACACCCTTTTAGTTCAGGCGTCACGGTAGAGACATTAGGTATTTTTGGAAGCAGGCAAGATGAAAAATTAGCAACGCCTTCGTCGGAAATCGAACCACGGACCTCTGAAATACCGGCCAGCGTGCAGAACCACTACACCACGAAGGCACGCTAGGAAGGCGGGAGAAATACCTTATATATTTTATCATTTATTAGTAATTACTAAAATTAAAACTTCGATAATCGCTCATGCAATCTGACTAAGGATAAATTGGTTTGGGGTACTTTTGTAATAAAAGTAGTATCTGTGGCTATATGGAAAAAATAAGTCTTTTTGATTTAATGCTTTTAAAAATTGTAATCTAAAAACTTTAGATTATTGTGTAACATCATGAAGTATTTATGTTTACTGCTGTGTAACATCTTGAAGTATTTATATTTAAATTTCAAAACGTTAAACAAAAAGCTGAAAAATAGCAAAGTTATAAAAATCATAACATTAAAATGAAGTTGAAATCTGATACTGATATTAAACTTTCAGTTTACAAACAATTTTAAGCTAAGTAACTACAATAATCCTGCTATTTTGAGAATTAACCTTTCGCCCCAGTGAACTGAAGATATAAAACTCAAAATCTCCTACGTAAAAGGAGCTGTTCAGGAGAACAAATTGAAATAGAAGAAAAAACTTCCTATGATATTATTTCATCACAAATTAAAGTCACAGACTTTAATGTTAAAGGCGCAGACAGAAACTTGCTTAATTATTTAATTAAGAAAAGGCATAATTATTTAAGACTCAGTTGTGCATTCGTTTTAACGGATCACGTACATCAAAAACTTGTTTCAGATACGGCAGAAAAAATCAGAAAATGTTTCTCATACAGAAATAATTTCTGTTCCGCCAGAACACGAAATCAGCGAACAGAAAAATATTAATATAATTGATTTGTTTCCAGTTTTCTTTTTAATGGTCCTATTAACTAGTGAAACTTTTTTGTATATACGTAGCGCCCATTTTCGAGATAACAAAATTTCCTTATCGTTCATCCTTTCCACAATAACTTTATTGAAGAGTAAGTTTTTTGAGAAAAGGTTTGATAAAAAGTATGTAGTTAAATTTATTAATTTATTTATTCTTTAGTTTTACTTACAATAGCGAGAAAATTTATTAAAGGTAACAAAATGTTACTTAAATTCAGAAAAAAAAATTAAATGTAAAATTTTAAGTAATTACTATTCTCATCTTTGAGGCTGATGCTGCGAAACTAATTATTTGATGTCTGGTTTATTTCCATAAGGAAAAAAAGATGTCCTCTTTAGAAAATATCCAGACGGTTTCCGTGTTTCGCCGTAATGTGATTAACAATAGTAATAAAGCTTGCATTAAATATTATAGAATGTAGAGAAGAAGAATATAATGTAGGGAAATGTAATTATAAATGTGATAACCCCATAGCAATTAAATTGCATGTGATAACCCTGTAACAATGTGTAAGTCTAGGAGAAAATTTTTCCTGAAATGAGTTTTTTTTCTCTTAACATTGGAGGATTTCTAGACTTAACAGTTTCCCTGAAGCAGATGTCCCGGCTAGTTACACAGGACATTTTGCTTTGCAGATGAAAATGTTTCGCTTGAAACTTTGTCCCTCATAACGACTTATTTTCGCGTACGGTCAACCAATCAGATACCCCGGAAGCTAAAATTCAGGAACATGCTTCTTTCGACGCGCTGCCAATGGTAGGGCGTAAATGTGATACATGTTTTCAATGCGATAACACCATTAAGCGTACCATAGTCGCCGAACAATACCTAAGAAAAATGACAAAGCAGTATAAATATATGAAAACAGGAAAGAGTTGCACCAAAGAGAACGTTAAGTAGAGAATTCAATTTTCACGTGTTTATATAATTATACATGCATGTAAGTGTAAGTTTGTTTCTATACTCTTCATCTTCATGATAGGAAAAATGCTCTACCACCCATCATGAAAGCTAAAATCGCCCACTAAATAGGTTGATTATCCCTCATCTAGTGTATAGGTAGAATGTTGGAATGACATTGATCAAAAGTCACTAGATTTAACGTAATAATAGTTGCAAATTGAAATAAATGAATTTTTTTATACATTATTAAAATTTAAATAACGCCTTTTAATATGTCTCAAACGACAGATATTTTTATCCATTTTGATCGAACAAACAGAAAATCTGCTTGATCTTTTACGATCTATAATAATAGTATAAAATATAATAACAATACAAATGCTTACATATATAATTAAAATAAAATTTAATATTGTATATGTCTTATTATATATATACAATAAAAATATTAATTTAATTATTAATTTTAATAAATAAGCCTCATAATTAATGAAATTCTGCATATGTAATTAAACTCTTGTTTTGGAACGTAACACAGTTTTTTTTTTCATCAGTTAAAGTATAGGTAAAGCTATTATTTTCACACTGTACATGCAATCATATCATTGTTATATTTCGCATCATTTTACTCAAAGTTATTGAGCACTATGATCTGAAGGAAATATAGTTAAATAAACATATTTTGAAGTGTGTGGTTTTTGCTTAAAAAAGATTTGATTTTGATATATCTGCTCCTCTTGCTTATTTCACTTATTCTAATAAATGTTTTTGTAGCATTTCTTGTCTATGCTTGGAAGGGGATAAATAAATCAGATATCAAACAAACTCCGTATTCTTATAGATGCATCTTTTCAATAACAGGAAAACCATAAGAAGCCCCAAAACCTGTCCCGAGTCTTAAGAAATCACAATAAGCTTGGTAAGTTCTTCCTATTTTAAACTAACGTATTCCTTAAAAAAGTCCGCAATCGAAGACTATTCTGCAGACTTCACTGAAGGATCTCAAGCGAACAGCTGGCTAATGTCTCCGAAGATTCACGTTCGAAATTAAACAGGACTGCCCAAGTTTTATTAAATTTTGGCACGAACGGAAAGAAAAGAAGCGAACTTCTTCCGACGTGTATTTATTGCATCTAGAGATTAATTCAGTTCTTGAGGGAGCCAGCAGAATATTTTTCAGACATCTTGCGGCGCCTATTAAGTCGGGCAGATCTCGAATGGCGTCCGATACGTCACGTGGCTGTCATTTGAAATCCCACAGAGACAACTTGATGCTCAAGTAATCCATTTTCGAGGGTGGACGTAGTTTTGTGTTTAGGGAAGATATTCGAGCTCTTCTGACTCGTATTTTCATGATAAATGGGACATGGGAGATTCATACAAATCGGGCCGGAATGCAACTAAGCTCGGAGGTTTATTTTAGCTTAATTGCGTCGAATGTTTTTGAATACAGTCGCACTCATTGTCTAAAACGCTCAGGATAGTAGACATTTAAAACCTTAAAAAGGTATTAAAAATGCATTTCAACAGGCATTATGGTTTATTAAATGCTTATGTAACTGGGAAATTTTAAACAAAAGTATATTTCTATTTAAAATCTTTTTAAATTAAAAAAATTCTCAAAATGTGCAAAATTTTAAAATACAAGTATTTTAATTTTTTTAAACTGTATTTGTTTCAAGAAATAAATAAATATAAAATGAAAGCTGCAATTTTCAGATTGCAATCTGAAACATCGCAAAAGAGTTTACCATTAAAAGATAAATAAAAATGGAAAAGCAATTTAGAAATTACAAACTAAAACTAGTAGATGCTTAGTTCAGATTGGGAGCCAGTTGCGAAATATGCACTATAGCGCTAAATCTGGTAATCTGTTTATATTCCGCTATAAATAGTCCTACAATGATATCGTTGCAAGTAAGTGGGAAGCATGAATATCAATCTAGGGATTTTCGCTCTTAGATTTTCGGTTATATAAATGAATGAATTGGAAGCAGCCTAATATGAATGCTTCTGATTTAACTAAAAATGGAACATTAAACGGGATACGATGACAAAATGTCGAAATAAAAATTAGTGTCGCCCTAGCCGCCGCCATCTGCTAAAT